AAGACATCAGCCATGAAATATTTGCGGAGGCGTAGTGTGCTTTGTTTGTGTTAGATCTGTGAATTGAAATATTTTAGAGTCTATAGTGGTCTGAATGTTTTTGGCACGTGTCAGAAAAATTTCAGCTGATCATGTTTGGTTTTTCCCCCGTTAACTTGCGTTTCGTGCGGGTTTGAGCTGAGGACAAATTTACACAATTTAATTGCTAAGTTCGTCAATGGCCATATGCCGCGGTTTCTAAAAAAAACATCTATTATAATCTGTGTTCAACGAATATACCAATGTTCCATTGTTCCTTGAACTGTGTCAGGCCGAATTTTTCCCGAAACTCAAAAGGCAAAAGTCTATTTAAAAATTGTGTCAATTTGTAACCGCGTAATATTAGGAACTTTTTATCATGATGCGCATGAAAATATGTGTTGTTGGTTTTGACAGCTTATAAGTATAAAACTACAAATACAAATATATTAATTTTTCAAACAACTGCTTTATCTTGTCAAATTTTCTCAGCTATAGCCTGGCTATATATATAGTATTGAAGAATATGCCAAAATTTGATTTCTTCTACTCGGTCAAGAAGCCTAATTAACTACAACTGCATGGTTATGTGAGCATTTTTTTCTTCAAAATTGGCACTCACACAGACAGTTCAAGAGTTCAAGCTCAAACCCACACGAAACGCAAGTTAACGGGGGAAAAACCAAACATGATCAGCTGAAATTTATCTGACACGTGCCAAAAACATTCAGACCACTATAGACTCTAAAATATTTCAATTCACAGATCTAACACAAACAAAGCACACTACGCCTCCGCAAATATTTCATGGCTGATGTCTTTCTTTAATATCATAATGACCATACATGCATGAGATCTGCCAAAACAATCTCTACTTGTATTAGTATAGGCAGGATTTGTCGATTATATGATACTAGTATAATTGATTTTTTTTGCTTTAAATAAAGTATGTTCGTGTTTCGTTGTTCCATGGGGTTCAATCGATATTATCTTCAATTGGATTCAGCGCATCAAGTCGCCTGACGGCTATAACGAGCGAGAAACTGTGAGTTTGTAATGGTTCCCGATTCAAGACAGATGCTAGCAGTATATACAATGTAAGTTATATTTTGTCACTTTGCACTTTACAGTATTACGTTTTTACTCCTAATTTGATTCTCGAATCTTACTGCAACTACAAGACAGCGTCGACGAGTACTCGATATTTATCATGTTAAACAGCGTCAGTGAACTCAATGCCAATTCTTACAACCGGACCATATTTGAATATATAGTCCCAAATTTAAATATGGCATTTGTTCGTCCAATCATTCGCATTTTGGTGTCATTTTTACATTTTTGATTGCGGTTTCGCTTTTAAAGCTTTGTTTTGATTGATATAGACTCAGTACTCGCTAGTACTCGCTACGCGCGAGTGGAGGTACCCTTACTCGCGACAGGTACTGTAATAAAGGCTAAAGGTTATAACGCGTGTACCTAAAAGGTAAATAAAATCTCGGCCTGTTAGGCAGACACGCGTTATAACCTGGAGCCTTCATTTTAAAACTTTATTATAATTGACAATCTAGCCTTTATTATAAAACTTTATTATAATCGACGATCTGCTGTAGCCCTTATTATATAATTGAAGCTGACACCACAGCCTTTAAGGTTTCTCTTAGCTGTTATATTATAGCCCGAGTTAGCAGTTTATTAGTGAAGACATTCTATACCGCGAATATTTTACTGCTTTTGGTCGGAAAACCTCGGAATCAGAATGCATATTAAAACCGCGGTTAGCTTTTTGCCGATGCGTGGGCTAAACCGCAAAAAACCCGCCCGATAACCGCCCGATAACCGCACGTTAACCGCACGTTGACCGCACGTTAACCGCCCGATAACCGCACGTTAACCGCAGGCTAACCGCAAAACGACCGCAACCGCAGTGTTAGGTTAATTCTGAGCGGTACTGTACATGGTGCTCACTAGTCACGGCATGCATAGCCTATATATACTACATGCTGTATTTTTTCGCTCTTTGTATATACCGACTTTCCAAAAAAAATTCAGAAGAATTCTCGATTAGGAGCAGTCAAAAGCATAACGCTAGCTGTTTTGGCGAAAAAGGAAGAATGTTATAGAATGCCGAATTAAAGAACATAAACACTGCAAATAAGGGCAACGATAACAGAATAGCGGCTCATCAAGTGACCACCTATAGCAGCAAAGGGTTGAAAAAGAGCTTACCTGCTTGGAATTTACGTAAAATTACAGAAAGCGAAGCGAAGAGCATTAATATATGGCGCGGCATGTCATGCAAACTTTCACCAGTTTCATTGCCAATGAACAAGGGCGCCCAGGATATGATAGAACGATGCAATCAGACAGCTGATGTGAGGTGGTCATGTCTAATTCAAAATTTTTTCCATAGAGGTTATACCGAAACGTTTGACAAATATAAAACTTTTGGAAAATATTTAAAACAAATATCTCTATAAGTCATTCCTTACCAATGTGGGAGTTATTTGTTCTTTCCTCCAGTTCATCGAATAACTCCAACGTTGCTTCACCAATACTTGTCTTCCCAGTCACAGCAATATCAAACAAACATTCCGCATTGTCCCCGCAAACATTCCTTGCTTCTTGCTCCAAAGTAGAATTGGAAAACAATGAATTTGTTTCATCCATAAAGACAGGAGTGAAGTCAAGATCAAGAAAACTGTCGTAACTATTTCCAATTCGGTAGGTAAACATTGTCTTGTGCCTCTCAACAATCCCTAAAGTAATTAAAAGGAAATGTGCCAAAGAAAATTGTATTGAAGTTTTGTACTATACCACTTGCATTTAAACGTTTCTTCGCGTATTGAATATTGAGTAATAAATATCGAAACCGCATGCATGACGGCATTGTACGCCTTCTTCTCATTGTTGTTTTGGGGGTATGAAACGTATGACTGTAATGTCGTACGTTTTTTAGCCCGCGTGCAGGCCTAAGGGAAGAATAGTGGGACTGCAAGCAAGGCCCGCTATTTTGTACTTTCCGCGTTCGCCCGCAGCATTCTGATTGGCTGTTTGCTGTTGGATTCTATAATTAGATCAGTGATTCATCACAAAGGCTCTCGATAAGCTTAAAACTCGAAAATTGATCACTTTTTTCGATTAAAAATGGAACAAGAACAGACTGTTTATTGTTTACTCGAAGGAAGAGATGTTTTTGCCGTTATGCCTATGGGGATTGCTTGTCGTGAAGTGTTGGAATAGCAACATTACGACTGCCGGGGTAAATTATAGTAACCTTTACTTGAGTTTCATTAATTTCAAACAGACTTGATACGTTATATATTCCTCAAGAAAATTATCTTTTGGTTGATGTTGACTCTGTTCTTGCACTGAAGAAAACAGCGCTTTTCACGGCAAAGATTTAGAGGCAGTTGCATGTAAGCCTATTCGCGATTTGCAAGGCTTCGCTGAGAGAGCGAAACAGAAGACGGTAATTGCCGTTTGAAACGAACCGGTCTGGACTCTGAACCCTCTCTTCTTTTGTAGAGTTCTTTACCAAATGAAATAACTGAAATAAATTTCGTACTTTCCGCCGCCAACAAGAATTGCACACACGATCTGATAAGTAGACAATTTATTTATAACAATGGCGACAGCGAAGCACACATTATAATGCTAATGTGGTTGCACGACTTCCCTCACGATTTGAAGTTGAGACTGGTTTTCTGTTGAAATTCGTCCTAATTTGCCTGTTCCGATTTTAGTTGAAAATGAGCACTTGCAAATTTGGCAATTACTGACTGCGTTGCTTGCTTTTTTGGAGTTAAAACACAACCATTTACACATTGTTTCTATTTTGAATATTAAAGCAGAGAAAACCCCGCAACATTTTAATGCGAGTTTGTTTGTTACTATTTCTGTTGCTGTCATTGGTTCTTTTTTGACAATTGACGCGCGAATGGGGCGTGTTATGAAAAGGGTGTTTTACAAAATACCGGGCCTTGCCTGCAGGCCCACTATTCTTCCCTTGGGCCTGTACGCGGGCTATACGTTTTTTGGCAGCGCTGTGTGACGCTATAATAATGATGTTTATAAGTTTGATATATACCGTAGTATTATATAGAAATGATTTTTGAACGTTGCATTTAACTAAATTAAATTACAAACCTTTGTTAAAAGTAGTTATGCAATGACCTTGTGATTAGTATACCTTTAGGATGGTTTAGAGTGCCATACTACAAAACAAGCGCGAGTGAATTTTTCAAACGGCATTAAAATAGCAGTCCGTAGAATGATCGAGTCCGAAGGACGAGTGCTATTTGCGGTTTTTGAGAAACTCACGAGTGCTTGTTTTTAATTCTTTAGTGCTTTGTTTTCCACAAATCAGAACAGTGTGTTCCAGGTTTTTTGCACTGTTGTTGCTTACTTCTACACTACTGTTTGAGATTTATAACCGAATTGAAATCAACCAATTATAGTTGCGTAACATTTTCTGTGAGCCCTATATTATAAACATTAAACTGACAACAACAGTCGGTTACTGTTACACGCGCACAAATAGTGCCATACATATCGGAGGAAAACTTCTACCTTGCTTAGTATTGTTAAATAAGAACAAACTAAGACATAGGAATAGATTTAACAGTTTATTGAAATGTGAAGTGTTCTAAAATTTGATCTAATCTGTCCTCAAGCGAATCAGATGCCGGATATGTATTGCCATACAAGTACTGTAGATGGTACAACGCATAATGGTTATAAATGAAGCGTCCAAACGTTAATTTTTGCAATATCTCAAACGTTACGCTCACTTGCATGTGGTAAACATATAATTTTTGTTTTGCTTGTATTCGTTTCTTACTTACACTTCTGGCCAAATTCATTATGAAGTGTTCGATAACTTGAATTAGTGTGAATAAAGCTCCCGTTTGGTAATAAAAATTCTAGATCCTTGCTATCGTCCCAAAATCCAAGAAGACCGGCTGTTTTTCCTACAGTGAAAAGAAAACGAGAGTAACAAGAGGGCATTCGAAGACTGCATACTTCCGCAGGTAATTAATTTTACTTCCGCAAAAATAATTATAATAATTAATATGCATTCTGTTTACGCAAGAAATTTCTTGGCAAATTTTGCATCTATTTTTTCATCCAAATTTACCAAAATTTAACCAATTATGTCCTTGGGCAATGTCCATTAGCCACACAATTTTTGTATTAATACGGTTGACAGACACACACAAAGACACACACAGAGATACATACAATTAATCGGCGATGAAAACTAATAAAAACTGCGTATTTAGTATAATTATGAGTAGAGAATACATGCATGCAGAACCCTCGCCTTAATGACAAAACCATTGTATTTTCCGAACATGCAGTATTTAAAGAGTAGTCATGGTAACACGATTATCTATTTCCCAAACATATATAAGTAGGTATGTCATTATAAGTAACATAAGCTTCAATTCAATGTGAAATTCAACCAAAAACGCTTCGCAAAACGTTTTAAAATGTTCTTTATAAAACTGAACAGCCTTTATATCGATAAACTTTGAGTTTGAAATAAAATTATTTCAAATTCTCGCATTCAAACAACTTTGCATTCTTTTTTATTTAAAAATTTTAATATAATAAAAAAGGTAATCAATAAAGTTACACTGAAATTATATGCTCTCTTTTTTCATTTAAAATATACGCAACAATCAGCTTTTAAAGCAATTAGCTAATATAAAGCAACATCAATATTTAAAAGTTGCCGGCTTCGTTAACGTCGGCGCCTTCGCTCCCTTCTATGGCAATTCTTTCGTTTTCTTTCTTAAAAAGCTTTTGAAATTTAGAAAATCTTGCAAAAATGAAATATATATGCAAGAAATCATATCAACAAATGTTTGCTAGTCGTTTATATAATGCAAATTTTAAATTTGACCAATCAGTGTTCGCTATTCATGACAATCCGCTATATTTTGAGATCAGTGAGGATGATCACCCACGCACAGTGACCCACGCCCGCATCATTGATGAACTTTAGACTTCGCTAATGCTTTCCTTTCCTTTCCCTGGGGCTAAATAGCCGGGCTGAATTAGCACCCTCGCACGGCGCTCCGCGCCGTTGGCTGGTGGATAAAATTCGTGTATCATATTATAAAACTGAAAAATTATTGTCACGGCGATTCCCGGCCCATGAAACTATTTTCAGAGTTTCGATATTTTTAAAATCTCGCGAAACTAGTACCCTTTCCTTTGTTTCAACCGAATCGTACATTTCCTATTTAAAAAAACCCAACTTTATACAGTGGTCAAATTAATCAAATACAAACCTTTGAATCTTGTTGGGATCGAAATCTGATAAGTCAAAAAGTCTTCTGTTGCTTTAATAGTAACAGATACTCCTGAAGTGAAGTAGATGCCCAACTTTGATTGATTTTGTTTAACGATAAAAACTCCAGAGAAGTCTAATCTTGTTTGTTCATCAAATTCAACTCGTTCACCATTAACAAGCACATCTAACCGCCGCCGGCTGTTAAAATCGATCTTCATAAATAAACAACACAAATGTGGTAAATATATATTTATTTCCATAGATTTAATAAAATATTATCAGACTAAATCAATTGCTAAATCTCAAATATCAAATAATAATGTATAGACGAAGTGTCGAAGACTCAAAGTTAATGTTTTCTTGCATATCATTGGAAGAATCCTGTATCCCGTGAAAGTCATGAAATTCCTGCCAACAGGTCTGAGCAGTGGACATTACTTTTACTCGCAGGTAGGCTAAATCAAATTAAATTCGTCGAGTTATAAAAAAGCAAAAGTTATGAACTTTTTGTGTTCTCTTTCGTTTTCTTTGATCCTTATTACATATTAATAAATTCCTCGGCTTCGCCTTGGGAAACATTGGCATTCATGCACGGGTGCATTCCTGAACGTATCAGTCAATCAGTATTCTATATATATAATATTAATAATTTTCTGACTGAGAGTGAGGGCAGTACGGGAAAATATCAAACCGAGGCCGGTGTTGCTGTATTGACCATTAAAAAACTCATTAATAATTCATGAAGAAAACACAAAGAAAAATCATAAGCGTGTCGTTATCTGTATATGTGATACAGATTCATGTTGATTTACATAAACTTTAACTTTGATTTTTTCGGTTTAGGCAACGTTTATTTTTAAAATTACTTCGCCAATGAACTCATAAGATGAGTCGTTTTTTAAGTTGTTTACAACATTCGCGTCCGTGTTGCATCGAATATACAAAACACTCGCCTTTGGCTCGAGGTTGTATATCCGATGTAATGTTTACAACACGGCCGCTCATGTTGTAAACATTACATTAAAAAAGTTCGTTTTGTGATTTACTTATATTGAAATGATATCGAATTTGGAAGAAGGGTTCGTGATTTACTTACGCTCTTAAGCTGTTGAGGTCCAGTGTTAGGAATATGGTGCTTTTGAATTTTCAAATATTTTTTAGAAATTCCAACATTCATGCAAAGATATACCGCTTGTAAAATTTATAAATTTTTCGACAAAATGAAGAGCGGATCTAATATTAAAAAATACCTGAACAAACTTGAATTACAAAGTTCACTTTCAACGCTTCACATAAAAACTGCATCGTTGATTTTGTTTTTGTATTAGTCGCAAGTTTATGTGGACGGCAATATATATCTGATAGATATGATTTGGCTTGGAGATTATTGCAATAGGCAATTCCAGCTTTTAATTTATGCGCGCAGGGGGTGACGGGAAGTAAGGTGTCATATTGCTAATTATGCTGAAAATTTTCAATAAAAACTGCCGACACATCCGAAATATTTCAATCTTTACAAGTACAAGGTATCACTCCATGTTTACACGGCCATTATTTTGGGTTTTTTTAGCATAATCAGCAATATGATACCTTACTTACCATCCTCCCCTTCACGCATAAAATAAAAGCCGGAATTGCTTATTATAATATTCAGGGAATCAGTAGACGTGGAGTAGAGCAGATCGGAGTTGAGTGGCCTGGAGTGGAGTAGGGTACAGCAGAATGCAGTGCAGTGCAGTGCAGGGCATATACCTGTACAGTATCACTTGCTGCTCCTCTGATAACTAGTGCTGTGAGCGCTGTTGCGCTTGTGCGTCGTCCTTGGTCATCGACTATGGATATCATTCTTCCTTGAAACTCTAGATCTACACCATTGTTCAGTTGTAGGAGGATATATTCTCCATAACCATTGAAAGTGTAGAATGTGCCGTCAAACGTCGACAAGTGTGGATCGCCTATTATATTCGCTGGAAAAAAAGTCAAGGTTTTCCCGTCAGTATATATATATATATATATATATATATATATATATATATATATATATATATATATATATATATATATATATATATATATATATATATATATATATATATTACTCGAAACCGATTTTTGTGACGACATTTGCCGAAAATTTCGCTTCTTTTATTGAGTAAATTGTCTTTGTTTATGTCTTTCAAAATGCAAAATTTTTCTTCCAAACATAAATTGCAGCGTTTTGATCCCCCTGTGTACGAAATAGCGTGTTTTAAAATTGACCATTTGGTCAACCGGTTTCGAGTAAACAAGGTCGTTAACAAAACCTAATGACCCAAGCATGCATTGTTTCACCTAAGCATTGTTTCGCCTACACGCATTCCGCACATTCTTTCGATAGCATAAAAGCAACCTACAATTTCGAAATTATTCACCACCTGATGATTCCTATACGGATGAAACAGACTGTTGTGGTTTTTGAGGTAAAACGAAAAACTATATTACGCTCTATCTATATGGTATTGAGCACTGTTTGTGTTTCTTAAACCAAAATCTTAAGCTATATATATATATATATATATATATATATATATATATATATATATATATATATATATATATATATATATATATATATATATCCCACCGGGCACACGACGTTGTTTCAACGTTGAAATTTGGTAGAAAAAAGGTTGCGACGTCGACAACCTAATATCTACGTTGCTCTGACGTTGTTTTACAAACATTGGTTTAACAGCAGCCAACAGACGTTGAATTAACGTTCATTCATGGTTAAATGTACGACGTCGATTTGTGAACCAATCTCAACGTTGTTTTAACGTGGATTCAACGTTGAATTATGGTTGACGAGACTGGCAACCTAATTTCAACGTTGTTTCAACGTCGAAACAGTAACGTCGATCCAATTTCCATAGTCAACCCTTTTTCAACGTCTATCCAACGTCTGGAAGGTCATTTCCAACGTTGATTCAACGTTGGATAAACGTCATTTTGCACGCTGGGATATATATATATATATATATATATATATATATATATATATATATATATATATATATATATATATATATATATATATATATATATATATATGGTATTATCCCTACAGATTTGAATGTATTAATCGATTACTACAATAAAAATAGATTGAAAATAAACTATTTTCTCCTGAATTTCGACGTTTACAATTTAGTCAACTTCAATGTTGGTAAAAAAACACTTAGGAGTAAATACTAACTACTGATATTGTACGTGGGCTCGCAGTCAATAATTGGAAATAATCTGCATGTTGCGGTGACCCAGCCACACTATTTTTTTGTTGTAATTTTAAATTGTTATTTGTAATTTTATGCCGGCGAAGTTGATGAATATAGTTATTTTTATTGGTAAAATGAAGCAATCCGGCTTTTTGCATTCGGCCCGCTGTGAAATGCAACTGCCCACTCTGGTTTTCGCGCCAAAACCTATATAGGAGAGAAACAATTTTTAAACTGAAAAATCTGCGCAAAATGTTTGGAAAACTTAGCCTAACTATAGTGAGAATACGAAAATGAATTACCTCAATTAAGCCCTAAAGACTTCATACTAAGCACGATGTACACCAGGGTTGAAAATTGCATTGAAAGTCAAGAAGTAATTTGACACAGTATTTTGACATGTATAAAACTTATATAAAGCTATCTTTTTGTTTTAAGAGGCAATTTATTTCTACGTGACGTAGCGTAATGCGATGAAAAGTGTTCAAAATCGAAAATCTTTTT